TAATCCCAGCACTCGGGAGGCAGAGGCAGTCGGATCTCTGTGAGTTCGAGGCCAGCCTGGTCTACAGAGCGAGTTCCAGGAACAGCCTCCAAAACAATACAGAGAAACCCTGTCTTGAAAAACAACAATAACAAAAAAAAAAACAACAAAGAAATGTCCCCTGTGCACAACACACATACTTAGCAGTAAACTAAAAATGAGTAAAAGAGGGGTCTACATGGTGGCATTGAAACTAGCCAGGACTACATAACAAGGTCCTTTCTAAAACAGCTGGACACATAGCACAAGAATAAAACCCTTGCCTAGCATTCTTGAAGCCCTGAAAATGTTAAAAGGAGAAAGAGAGTTAGATGCAGCTTTAAATGATTTCTGCTGTGAAGGTCTTTATAGTTGGTATTTCATGTGTCTGGGGCTGGAAAAAGCATGGCCAAGTGTCTTTTGATGTCACTTATGGACAAAAATTCAAGATTATAGTATTTGAGAGTAATTACACAGATGCCATGAAAAGTCAAAGTTAATAGTAACTTAGCTTGCGTGTGTGTCAGTTCGGATTGTCCATGCAAATGCAGTAACAGAGCAGAGCAGTCTGCCAGAAGTCCTCCTAGAACATGTGCAAATGTTAGACTCTGTGACCAAGGGGTCAGAATGGCAGGTGGAATTAGGGTTGCCAGTAGGTCAACCTTGAGATGAAACTACCTGGAGTATCCAGGAGTCACCACACAGGTCTCGCTACTGCTGGGGTGTTTGCTATAGTGACAAATCTAGGGCCATGCACCTATCCCACAAGCACCCCTTAGCACCATCTCCACCCACCATTTCTGGGTTTGATGGTAGAAGGAGGGTAAGAGCTAAGGACTATCAAGAAAAAAGTGAGTGCTCCCATTGAATGTAAGGCCAGCGAGACACACCCATAAAGCTTCAAAATGCATGGTGTTTCAAGTTGCTTTATTTGCTAGCACACCTATAGGAAACTGGTACTAACACATAAAAATTGAGGCAAAAAAGTTAACTTCAAATTAATAGCACTACACACACATACACAGAGAGAGAGAGAGAGAGAGAGAGAGAGAGAGAGAGAGAGAGAGAGAGAGAGAGAGAGAGAGAGAGAGAGAGAGAGAGAGAGAGAGAGCACTTTAAAATGGGGCTGGAGAGATGGCACAGAGATTAAGAGCACTGACTGCTCTTCCAGGGGTCCTGAGTTCGATTCCCAGCAACCACAGATGGCTCATAACCATCTATAATGAGGTCTGGCGCCCTCTTCTGGCCTGCAGGGATACATGCAGACAGAACACTGTACATAATAAATAAGTCTTAAAAATAAAAGCACTTAAAAGCTCACATCACTACAGAGTCCAGAAAATATTAAGACACCCACAATTTTGGAAGCAGAAGGTTTTAGTTGGAAATAGAGCATACTTTTTTAAAAGATTTATTTATTTTATATGTGCATTGGTGTTTTGCCCTAATGAATGTCTGTGAGGGTGTTTGATCCCCTGGAACTGGAGTTACAGACAATTTGAGTTGCCATGTGAGTTTTGGGAATTGAACCTGGGTCCTCTGGAAGAGCAGCAATGCTCTTAACCACTGAGCCATTTCTCCAGCCCCTTAAAGCATACTTAAAAAAAAAAAAAAAGACTGCCGGGCGTTGGTGGTGCAGGCCTTTAATACCAGCACTTGGGAGGCAGAGGCAGGTGGATCTCTGTGAGTTCGAGGCCAGCCTGGTCTACAGAGCTAGTTCCAGGACAGCCTCCAAAGCCACAGAGAAACCCTGTCTCAAAAAACCAAAAAAAAAAAAAAAAAAAAAAAAAAAGACTGATTGATTTATGTATGTGAGTACTCTGTCTTCCTGTGTATCTGCATGATAGAAGAGGCATTAGATCCCATTATAGATGGTTATGAGCCACCATGTGGGTGCTGGGAATTGAACTTAGGTCCTCTAGAAGAACAGCCAATGCTCTTAACCACTGAGCCATCTCCCCAGCCTCTTAAAGCATACTTTTAATGAATAGAATCTGCACATGTCAGGCTTTGAGGCTGCAGTTAACGTTGTATGAACCTTTCTCTTGAGTGTATCCGTTTTAACTCTAGGGGGAGCCTTTCCTGATAAGCTGGGCTGTGGGGGTAGAACCTTCTACCATAACAGGAACACACTGATGCAAGAGGATTGTGAACTTGAAGTCAATGAGACCTGTACCTCAGAAAGAAAAACAAAAACAAAACAAAACAAACAAACAAACAAAACGGCCGGGCGGTGGTGGCGCACGCCTTTAATCCCAGCACTCGGGAGGCAGAGGCAGGCGGATCTCTGTGAGTTCGAGGCTGGGCTGGACCGACAGCCTCCAAAACAATACAGAGAAACCCTGTCTTGTAAAACCAAAAAAAAAAGAAAGAAAGAAAAACAAAGACTCTTAGTATTAGCTATGCTAACCATGTGTCCGCATCATTCCCCAGTGCTCTGCCTACCCCCACCCACATGGGAAGGAAAAGCAAACAGTTCAGGGTTTCACCTTAAATCAAGAGCTGATGGGTGAAGCAAGAACTATTCTGATTCTAAATTCCCAAAAGAACTTAGGTCAAAGGATTTTTGAAAAAAAAAATGGGGGGATAGAATCTTACTGCGTAGCTCTAATTCTCACTGGCCTGAGACTCCTTTATAAACCAGGCTGTCCTTGCTCTCACAAATCCACCTGTGATGATAATGGCCTTCTTGAAGCCAAAAGTTACTGGGAGACATCAGAAACTAGCAGAAACTAGCAGATCTATTATGGTTCTACCCATATTGTGGTTTCAGACACCTGGTCTCAAAAAAGAAAAGGAAAAAAATCCTTTCCCTCCTTCCAAAAATCTTTTCAATTGTTTCTAGCTTTTTTTTTTAATGTTTATGTGTTTCTCTGTGTGTGTATGTGTTCAGGAGTTAAAGAGGTTATAAGCAACCCGATGGGTTCTGGGAACCATCCTCTAATCCTCGGGAAGAGCAACAACACTCTTATCCATTAAGTCATCTCCCCAACCCGTTTCTAGCATTCTGTATTGTTTGAGAAATGATTTTTTTTTCTTTTTTTCTTTTTTTTTTTTTTTTTTTTTTTTTTTTTTTGAGCCAAGGTTTCTCTGTGGCTTTGGAGGCTGTCCTGGAACTCGCTCTGTCGTCCAAGCTAGCCTCGATCTCACAGAGATCTGCCTGCCTGTGCTGGCATTAAAGGCGAGCGCCACCAATGCCCAGCAGGGGAGTGATTTTTTTCTGAAGTACGTTTATTTAGGTGTGGGGTTTGTGCTTGGTGCACGTGCCATAGGTGGGCATATGGGGATCACAGTCAGTTCTTTTCCTTCCCTTACATGAGTCCAGGCTTGCCTGCTGAAGGTTGTCCCATCTGCCTGGCTGGCATTCTTTCAAAAAAATTTTTTTTTCTTTTTGAGACAGGGTCTCGGTATGTAGCATCTAGACCAAGCTGGCCTTGAACTCACAGGAAAATATCTTACCTCTACCTCCCAAGTGCTGGAATACATAGGGAGCTGAAATATTTTAAAATGAACCTCATACATAAGCCATGAAATCCTAACTGTTGTTGACCCTGGACCCTTACAATGTTTTCAAAATTAGTATCTTTTCCAACAAGCAGAGATTCGCTGGAGGTCGTCTGAGCTAAGCCAATCATCTCTGACTCTAGATGTTTTCCTAAACAGACCAGAAAAATGTCAAGGCTTCTCTCAAGGGCAGTGAAGAAACCGAGCCGCAGGGAAATGTGTGAGCCTTCAGTCAGTCACAACAAGAACTATCTTTAAAATGCTGCGCTGGGGTTCTGGGGAAGCGGCTGGAAATTTAGCACATTTGACAACCGAAGGGCATGGGGGTTTTGAATTTTTGTTCTGTTTTGGTTTTTCAAACTAGCTCATTAAAATATGAAACGAACCCACCAAAGCTCACCAGAGTTGAAGAGCAAGTAGAAACCTCCTTTGCCCTGAGACTTGACTCTACTGTCTCTCCCAATTGGGGTGGCCAGGCGAGGCAAATACCACCAATTGTCATACACCAGACTGAAAGGGTGCGGAGGAATCGTAGCTTGAGGCCGGCACTGCCTCTTCCATCTGGCTGAGCACATTTCCCGTCCACCGTGCTTCCGACGTCTCCTCGGTTACTTCACTCAGTCCGGCAAGATTTACAACTCTGACCCAGGGGTTGTGGCTCGCATCTTTCATTCCAGGCAGAGGCAGGTGGATCTCTGATTTTAAGGCCAGTCTGGTCTATAGAACGAGTTCCAGGACAACCAGAGCTACACAGAGAAACCCTGTCTCGGAAAACTAAGATTCACAACTTTGACTGGAGAGATGGCGTGGTGTTTAAAAGCGCTTGCTGCTACAGAGTGCCCTTTACCTAATTAGTGGTTTTGTTTGCTTTTATTTTTTTTTCCACCTAATACCCTTAGTGATTTGTTTGTTCGTTTGAGACAGGGTCTCGAATAGCCCACGGGTTCCTTAAATTTGCTATGTTGCCAAAGATCTTGAACTCCGGGTCCCCCTGCCTCCCCCTCCTGAGTGCTGGGATTATCTGCTTGCGCCAGCATCCCTGGTTTTACCCGCTGCTGGGTATCGATCCCGTGCTAGGTAAGCACTTTACCCTGTATTTAAGGTCTTGGAAACCGTGGCTAGTTTAGAACTCAGCCATCGCCAGGAGGAAACCTTACTCTAAATTTAGGCATAAGCCTGTCACCTGTAAAAGCTTCCCGCTACCTTTTCCTAGAAAAGCTACCGAAGTGAGTGGGATAAAGTGGCCTTCCGCCCGGAGGGTAAACCGTGTCTGCACTTGAATCCTAAATCTGGTGCGATTCCCTAAATACGTCCAGCGTGTTGCGGAGGAGAGTTACTCCATGGAACAGAGCAGGTCACGCACGTTCTAAATTCCCTCTCCCTCTCCTGAGATGCAGCCTTGAGCCGCTGCCCGAAGGAGGCTGCCGGAGGCGCGGGAAAGCAGCCCTACTAGAGCCGGGTAAGGGGACCAAGGCGCTGGGGACTAACGGACACCCCCCTCCCTCGTGCCGCGGGTCCGAGAGGCACGGGATCTAGAGCTCCACCCCGGGGCGGGGCGCTCCTGAGGCTCCACCCTCTGAGACTGGGCTGCTTGCTCCGCCGCTGCATCCCTGCACGTCGGACGATGTATCTCCGCAGGGCTGTATCCAAGACTCTGGCGCTGCCCCTGAGGGCGCCCCCCGGCCCTGCGCCACTGGGGAAGGACGGTGAGTGCCCCGCATAGCTCTGTGGCTCCAGGCTGGAACCAGCGCCCCGAACCCGACAGCACCAGTCTCAGAAGCCTGGGCCAGGGTGAAGGAACAGTGAGGGAGGGGCTCAGGCAAGCGCTCCGAAGTCCTTGGAAACTTTGGGAATTGGGATACTTTCCAGGTTGTCCTCTTAATCCAAATTAGACTTCCTGGGTCCCAGCCCTTATCTCCGTCAAGTAAGGTTTCTTCATTTTTTTTTAAGTGAGCACCACAGTGACTGTGAGTTGTAATTAATAGATGTGAAGTGAAAAATCACTTTGAAGAGGGTCTGGCTCACTCCTAGATTCCCGCGTCAGTTAGTCAATGAATCTCTAGGCACCCGGAAGAGGTAAAGAAAGGTGTGGACACCCTCAGGGTGGGCTCCAGGCGCGGTCCCGGTGTAGTGAACACAGGTGGTGCTGAGCCCTGGCATCTCCCAGTCCTGAGCATCCCTCCGAAGTGGGTGACCTCGGGTCATTGTTCTGGCGTTGCTGAGAAGCTCACAGCTTCATCAACTTTGGATTAGGGAATGCGAGAGGAAGGGAGGAAAGCACCGAGTAATGCCGCCTGGAACACAGTAGGTGCTTAATAGGTGTCGCGTCCGTGGGTCTGGATAGGTTTGCAGTTCCTCTCCGAGCCCTGTTCCCAGCCCTGAGCCCCCACCCCACCCCTTGTCCGTCTCTCACTGGGAGGCACAGCTCTTGAACGTGCTTCACCCGACGACTCCCTGAGGCATCCGAGGCAGCATCCAGACGAGGATTTATTTAAGCGAGAGGCAGAATAAAAATGCCTACAGAAAATTTCATGAGCCACAGGGATTTTTGTTGTTGTTGTTTTGGTTTGGTTTTTGGTTTCTGGTTTTGTTCTGGTTTGGTTTGTCCACTTGTTTCCCCAGCTTTGATTAAGCCTGTGTTAATGGTGGAGGGTGAGAGGGAGATCTGTCTATCCACCTGCTCTTAAATGCTACTTGGAAGAGCCTCCCTTCTCTGTATACCTCGTAAGATTACCATTTTCATCATTGATGAGGTAGGAGGAAGCTGTTTAGTTTAAGTTAAATAAAGATGATGGGGGCTACTCTGATGTTCGGAGAAGGAGGAAGATGAATCCACTGGTCATACACACACACACACACACACACACACACACACACACACACACCAGCGCCTGCAAGAGTCGATGATGGGTCCAAGGGACTGATCTAGGTCTTTAGGCTTGGCTGTAGACACCTTCCCCCTCAGAGTCCTGTCATCTGCACCACACCTTTCTGCATCCCCTGTCCCCCCATCCCCCATCAGAATAAAGGTAGTGTTAGCATTCTGAACTTGCAGTCCTGGGTGCAAAGATACTGATCGAATTTCACTTAATTGCTTTCATTTTTTATGGTGCTAGGAGTTGACTCTAAGGCCCATCACTTTACTAGATAAACTTGCTTCTATTGACTACTGAGCTACAGCCACAGCCATAATTACTTTTATTTGTTCAGTCATTTTTCTATCTATCTATCTATCTATCTATCTATCTATCTATCTATCTATCTGTATTTGAGACAGGGTTTCTCTGTGTAGCCCTAGCTGCCCTGGCACTCGCTCTGTAGACCAGGTTGGCCTCAAACTCAGAGGACCCCTGGCCTCTGCCTCCCAGGGCTGGGATTAAAGGCATGCACCACAGTCTGGCATTGACTGGAATCTTAAAGGTGTCTTCTTTTGTGGGCATTGATTAATGTTTTATTGGTATTTCCTACTTTGGTAAAAAATAGATTTGTTTCAGTGCATATTTTTTGAAAGACACATTTTAAGTATCATTAAGTTGTGTTTTGCCTTTTGCTGCAAAATGTAACTTTTTTAGCTTCTCAAAAATATAGCTTTTTAATGAATAGTTTAGGCTTAGAATAGTTCATTGGGAAAATACCAGGAGGACAAAATATAATGTATAAATCACTTCTAATTCTCCCATTCAGTAAACATCATTTTTATGGTTAACCTACTTAGTTCTAGAGATTTTTGTTGTTTTTGCTTTATAGAAACAAGGTCTAGATACCCAGACTGCTATGAAACAATCCCCCTGCCTCACCCTCCAAGCACTGGCGCTATGGTGTGAGCCAGCACAGGCAACAACTGCGGGTCTTTTTCTTCTTACATCTAAGGTCTGCCGCCACAGGGTATGTTGCTGTGGATTCTCACGTAATGCGGAACAGAATTTTCTCATAGTTTGGAGAGCTGTCTCAGCAATCCAAAGCACTTGTTCTTGAAGAGGATCCGGGTTCAATTCCCAGTACCCGCCTGGAGGCTCAGAACAGTCTGTAACTCTAGTACCTGGGAACTGAAGCCTACCCTGACCTTCGAGGACATCAGGCATATACACATGATGCATATACATACATGGAGGCAAAACACTCATGCACATAAAATAATAAATCTGCAAAGATAATTTTTTCATATAAGCAAATCCTAGTCTGTACATTGTATAAGTCTACTAAAATATGTTTAATTAATTCCTGTTGGAAAGTTCTCTTATTGCCATTTTAAATAACTCAGATGAAATAGTTTTTAAGTCTACTTGTATTTCTGAAGTTTTCTTTTCCTTTTTCAAGACAGATTTTCTCTGTGTAGCCATAGCTATCCTAGAACTCCATCTGTAGATGAGGCTAGCTTTGAAGTCAGAGATCTGCTTGCCTCTGCCTCCCAAATGCTGGGATTAAAGTCATGGGCCACCACATCACAACGCCATTGCTGATAATTTTATTTCTCCCTATTTAATAAGATCTGTCTGGAGTACATGGGGTATAGTTTACCCAGCAGTCAGGAAACCCTGGGTTTGATTCCTGGTATTAAAAAAAGAAATCCTGGATCAAATAAGAAACATATAGTTACACACAAGTGTCAAAAGGTTGTGAGGTGTTTTGTTTTGTTTTGTTTTGATTTTATTTATTTACTTTTGGTCCTGGGGATGGAACTCAGGCCTCATGCTCTACCATAGGTGGGGTGGGGCTTGCTGGGGGTGGTGTTTCTTTTATCAATGAGATTTGGGTCAGTGAGTTGGCTCAGCAGATACATGTGCTCATCATCAAACCTGATGACCCAGAGTCTGATCTCTAGGATCCACACAGAAGGAGAAAAGTAACTCCCACAAGTTGTCCTCTGACCTCCTCACACATGCTAAGTTAAGGAAAAAGTGAGCTTTCATTATGGGATAAAGGCAGATTCTAGACATCCTTCTGCCACAGCCTCCTCAGCAGCCAGGCTTACGACATGCACATCCAGATCACAGAGTTGCTTCTAAGTCGAAGAAAGTCTCACTGCAAACCAGCCATGTGGCCGTGATCCCAGTGTTCCAGGGGCTGAGACAGGAGAGCAGCCAAGAGTTGGACTGGCTGCAGTCAAGTTTCAAGATCTCGTCTGGACAAGCTTAGGGTTGAGGACATTCTAAGCATGTGTTCCACCCATCATTAAGTGCAAATTTTATCTTTAGGTGCAAGTGTGCTTAATTACCTTTTTTGTATTTGTTTTTCGAGACAGGGTTTCTCTGTGGCTTTGGAGGCTGTCCTAGAACTAGCTCTTGTAGACCAGGCTGGTCTCAAACTCACAGAGATCCGCCTGCCTCTGCCTCCCTAGTGCTGGACTTAAAGTGCCACCACTGCCCAGCACTTAATTACCTTTTTTGTTTGTTTGTTTGTTTGTTTTTTTGAGACAGGGTTTCTCTGTATTGTTTTGGAGCCTGTCCTGGAACTCGCTCGGTAGACCAGGCTTGGTCTCAAACTCACAGAGATCCACCTGCCTCTGCCTCCCGAGTGCGCCACCACTGCCCCGCCTTTAATTACCTTTTTAAGCTATCATTTCCTTCTTTCTCAAGTGGACAGCTGAAAAAAGAACAGAAAAAAAGAAAAATAATTATTTCTGATCATGTATGTTTTGGATACATATGGGAGACGGTATTTCTTTTGCATCTCATTTGGCCACTAAGCTTGTTTAGTTCCTCTGTCATTTCTCCTCATCTGCATCTGCCCTTCCTGATGTCTAACATCAAGATGGCAGGGTTCACAATCACTCTTCAAATAGACCAGAGGCTGTTGGGTGGAATTACCCCCACCTCTAATGCTGTGTTCCCTGAAGTGAAAATCCACTGTGTTCACTGAGGAAAAAATGCCTAACAGATGTAATTACTGAAGATGCCTCTACTCTTGTGAAGGTAACCATGTTTAAAATTTGTCTTCCCAGCATCTCTTCGTCGAGTGTCATCCAGCAAATTCCCTGGAACATCTGGGTCCAATATGATTTATTACCTGGTTGTAGGTGTGACAGTCAGTGCTGGTGGATATTATGTAAGTGCTTAAAGACCTATTCAAGAATTCATGTACCTGGCTTGCTAGCTCACGGCTTTAATCCAGTACTCCGGTCAGTATGGTCTGCATTCCAGGTTCCAGACCAGCAAAGGGCCCTTGTGGAGACAGGTCTGTGTCCAAAAGAGGGGGTTGGTCCAAGTGGTGAGCGGGCATTGACTTCTCTTCTGTGCTATGCTGAAATTGTTCTTGAAACGTCTAGTGGTGGTTGCATAGGGGATTGAGTATGATGAATCTTAGAGAGGGAGAAAGAAAGCTAAGCACACATTTTCTTTTCAGACTTACAAGGCTGTCACATCAAAGCAAGTCAGACATACAGACCGTGTCACAGATGTGAGAGAACAGACAAAAGTGGGTTTACAGCCACTTCCAGGTAAAGTGACTTCTTATTGTTTACTTCTCAGAAGCAGGTCTCATGAATCCCAGGCAGGATGACCCTACACCGGTGGTGCTCCCTCCTGCGCGGGTGGTGGTGTTCCCTCCTGCGCTGGTGGGGTGCTCCCTCCTGCGCTGGTGGTGGTGCTCCCTCCTGCGCTGGTGGTGGTGCTCCCGCCTGAGCTTTCAAGCTGGGATTACAGACATGAACCACCACACCTGGTTCTTTCTTTCATTTCTTTAGTAACTTAATCGAGAATTGCTCTGTGTAGGGATTCACTCGGGGAGGAAGATCACAGTCCTCTAGAGTTGCTAGCTTTGGATGAGAGCATTTGATAAATGAACCGAGTTTCCCTGGGTGCTGCTTTCTGGGAGGCACTGCCCATTCTTCTGTATGGTAATATTATCTCACCTACTCAGACACCCACCCATGCAAGCACAATTGCATAATTTTAGCATCTGTCTCAGCAGTCTGACCTCTCACTTCCCCCATTATTGTTTTAAACTATAAGCTAACTTTTTCCCACTTGTGGCCAGCCCCACCATGTGTTTTTCTCAAAGTGTGCTTCACGTGCGTTGAACCAGTCGGCAACCTGAGTCCCTGACCTGGAAAATGGCCACTGTGGGAACAGAAGCTCCAGTTGTCACAGTGCCCTGTCCTGTCCCTTCTGCAACCCTCCTGCTTTCTCCCCACAGGTCAGAAGAGAGAACCCCCAGAGCAGAATTATAGATGTTTGTGAGCCACCTTGTGGGTGCTGGGCAGCATACCCTGGTCCTCTGTAAGGGCAGCTCCCTTTCCCCCACCCCCGAGCTCCTAACACTGAGCCATCTCTCCAGTGCCAAGCTAATTACTTTAAATTTTTTGTTTTGTTTTGTTTTTCAAGACAAGGTTTCTTTGTAGCTTTGGAGGTTGTCCTGGAACTAGGTCTTGTAGACCAGGGTAGTCTCGATCTCACAGAGATCCGCCTGCCTCTGCCTCCAGAGTGCTGGGATTAAAGGCATGCGCCACCACTGCCCAGCTAATTACTTTAAATTATATTTTATTTTCTATCTAGGCTATGATGTTACTATCAATTACTGTGGTCACTAGGAACAGAGATGTTGGCAGCTCAGGAGTCAGGTTTTGCTTTTGTGATTTTATTTGTTTTGTTTGGGGGGAAGAGGTTTTTTGTTGTGGTAGTTTGGGTTTTTGGCTTGGTTTGGTTTGGTTCTTTTGAGACAGACTCACTATGTAGGTCTGTCTCACAAAACTCTAGCTGCCTCCCCCTCTGGAGTGCTGGAACGAACAAGTGTGCACCACAAGGCCAGGCATTCGGTTTTAATTTTTTGTTAGTACACTAGGAAACGGAGAATTAGAGCCAGAATAATGGCTTGGGAGGATAAAGATAATCACAACTCTTGAAAAATGGAGCAGGAGGATCAGTAGTTCAAGGTCAGCCCAGGTCACATGGCAGATTCATGGCTAAACGAGGCTGCTTCTAAATGTTGTCTCAAAAAATGTTCCCTTCCCCCGAATTAAAATAAAATAAATTGACTGCATTATTCCACTCTATTCCCATGTTCTTCCAATTAATACTTTGCCTAATGAACCAAATCTTAAAGGCGAAAAGGAGCATGTGGCCGAAGCTGGGAAAGCATGTTCAGGAGTTGGAGAAATTTCTGGAAAGGAAACTGAATTGGTACTTGCAGAGGAAGTCCCAGAGGTGGCCACTGGGCCTCCAGAAGAGTCTCCCGCCTCGGTGGCCTCCCTGATCCCTGGCGAGGCTGCCCTAGTGGAGACATCCATCTTGAGGGAGGAGCCTGAGCTGAAGATCACGGAGGCTTCCCCGGGGGACACCACCGAGGGAGTCCCCGAACCCACTGCCCAGGTGGAGATCGCAGCTTCGGAACCCACTGCCGAGGTGGAGAACACAGCTCCGGAACCCACTGCCGAGGTGGAGAACGCAACTTCCGAACCCACTGCCGAGGTGGAGAACGCAGCTCCGGAACCCACTGCCGAGGTGGAGAACGCAGCTCCGGAACCCACTGCCGAGGTGGAGAGCGCTGCAGCTCCGGACCAGGCTGATTCCAGCGCTGAGGGTGAGGGTACCGCCGGGAAGCAGAGCTCCGAAGAGAGTGCTGAACTAGGAGAAAGCCCGCCCTTGGGTTCAGAACCCTCTGCCCAGTGTGATTCACAAGAAGAAACCGAGGTCACAGCAGAGGTAGCCTCACCCCAAGGCTGATCTGTACAATTCCATAGTTCCTTTTGTATTTTTAGCAGCCTTAGACCTTCTTTCTAGAATTTAATATACCTTAAAGAATGTGGCTTTTACTAACAGATGTTTGGGTTGGGATTTGATATTTTACATGTCTGAATAGTTTTCTACCCTCTAAGATCAGGCTGTGTAGAGAGCTTAAACAGTATTAACTTTGGATTTAAATTTCCCTTTTTAGAAATTGAGTTATCTGTGCAACCTGTATGTCTTTGATTTCTGCTCTGCCTTTCTCTTTGTTATATGTAAGACTGGACAATTGAGTTTGACGTGAACTCATTTAAATAAAATTAGAAGATCTTCAGTGTTTCTATTCTTCCTTATTGTTGGGGGAGGGGGACTTGTGATTAGGATAAGGATATCTATGGCCCAGGCTGACCTGGAGCTCACTTCTTAGCCTGGGCTGGCAGCCTTGCTGGCTCTTGAGCTTATAGATGTGAGCCGCAATGAGGCCTGGCGTTTCTATTCTTACAATGTACATGTAGGAAGTACATATGTTACATATTAACCTCCATGCATACATACATCCTCACACGAAGAGACCAAGCTTTGTAGTATTACTGAAGGAAGAGCAGGGCTCTGGAGAGCTCTGCCCTTGCCCTGTTTGTTATGTAAGGGAGGGTGCAGGCTTTTCTGGTTCAGTTCAGTGTTTACTGAGGATTTACACTTCCTGCCAGGAATCGTTCATGTGCGTATGCATGCAGCAAATATTCACAGAATGCCCTCAGCCTACCTACCAGCCACTGTTTTAAGTGATCCTCAGTTTATATTTTAGAGAGGGACTAGATAACAAGACAAATAAAATTAGATACAGGGATCAGGTAGGGTTTGCAAGTTTCAGTTGGGAGTGAAATTGTCATTTTAGATAAGACAGTAAAAACAAGTCTTATTTTATTCTATGAGACAGCCCTTGCCTCAAACTCACTATATAGCCCCAAGGCTAACCTCCAGCTTCTAATTGTCCTGCCTCAGTGTCCCAAGTGCTAGCTTGTTTTTGTTTTAAACAGGAAGACTAAACCTTTTATTGACATCTGTTCAGCAGCTGGCGACTCTGGCCCTCTCCGTATGTCCTTTAAATGGGCGTGCAATCAGGCCTTCCCATTGCAGAGAGCTCCAGCATCTGTCCAGGGCATCCAATCAGGCCTTCCCATTGCAGAGAGCTCTAGCTTCCGTCCAGGGCATCCAATCAGGCCTTCCCATTGCAGAGAGCTCCAGCTTCCATCCAGGGCGTCCAATCAGGCCTTCCCATTGCAGAGAGCTCCAGCATCTGTCCAGGGCATCCAATCAGGCCTTCCCATTGCAGAGAGCCCCAGCTTCCGTCCAGGGCATCCAATCAGGCCTTCCCATTGCAGAGAGCTCCAGCTTCTGTCCAGGGCATCCAATCAGGCCTTCCCATTGCAGAGAGCTCCAGCATCTGTCCAGGGCGTCCAATCAGCTCTTCCCATTGCAGAGAGCCCCAGCTTCCGTCCAGGGCGTCCAATCAGGCCTTCCCATTGCAGAGAGCTCCAGCATCTGTCCAGGGCGTCCAATCAGCTCTTCCCATTGCAGAGAGCTCCAGCTTCCGTCCAGGGCATCCAATCAGGCCAGTAGCTTCTCTCCAAGTGCCACGTTTAAAGATGTGTGCCACCATAACCAACCAGGGCAAGTCTTTCTACGAAGGTGTCTGTTCATACAACCTGATGACTCTGGAGGGGAAGTCATGCCAGGTGAGGGACAGAAAAGCACAAATTATCTGCAGCCAAGGCATGTTGGGATATTCCAGACTTTTGAGGTGGCCGGCGTGGGTGAAGAGGAGTAAGAAGGGAGAGTAATTGGAGTTGTCTCCGAGAAGAATGGAGTGGGTGAACCCAGGCACGCTGATGACGCAGTTTACCCTAGCACTCGGAGACTGAGAATGGAAGTTCCATGAGTTCGAGGTCAGCGTTAGGCACATACATAGAAGAACCTTGCTTCAAGAGAGAAGGCAGGTGGGGTGGGGGAGATGGCCTAGATAACACAGAGTTATGCAAGATTTGGGGCATTACTAGAGTTAAATGTGGCCGCGGATGATGTTCTGTTTTGATCCCCTTAACTGGCAACGTTTGCTCCCAGTTGCTAGGACTATTCACGTCCTTCCCCAGGCCCCTCCCTGGCTGGCCCTCCCTCCAGGCTGCCCGGAACCAATGACTGACGTCCCAGAGCATAGACGGTGGGGCCAGCTCAGGTACAGTGCTCCAGAGGATGGAAGCTGGTTCCTAGGAGAGACTACATCCTGCTTAACGTGTTTTCTTGCTCTTTCCTGCCCCCCCCCTTCTCCATTCCTCCAGTAACGGTGCTCAGGAACCTCTGCATCTGGGGAATTTTACCTCGGTGGGCGTGTCTAAATTAGGAATAGAAGGATGGAGCTGGCCGACCAACCAGCTAATGCCCTGGGATTAGAGAGCCAGGGACACAGAAACTGCAGGGCTTAATCACGACTCTGGGGACAGAAGGGTAGACACCTGGTATTTTGTCTCAGCATCAACTCTTCATGAGACCCTAAGTCTAAGACCTGTGATGGAGGAGAGGTGTGCATTCGCTGCGTCACCTGGGAGAGGTGTGCATTCGCTGCGTCATCTGGGGACGAAGCAGAGGCACGCCTGGTCCACATACACGGATGCACTCCTGGTCCACACACACGGATACACTCATAGTGCACTCACACACGGTTACACTCATAGTGTACTCACACACAGATACACTCATAGTGTACTCACACACAGACACACTCATAGTGCACTCACACACAGTGCACTCACACACAGACACACTCATAGTGTACTCACACACAGAGATACACTCATAGTGTACTCACACTCGGATACACTCATAGTGTACTCACACACGGATACACTCATAGTGCACTCACACACAGATACACTCATAGTGCATTCACACACAGATACACTCATAGTGCACTCACACACACAGATACACTCATAGTGCACTCACACACGGATACACTCAGTGCACTCACACAGATACACTCATAGTATACTCACACAGATACACTCATAGTGCACTCACACACAGATACACTCAGTGCACTCACACACACACGGATACACTCAGTGCACTCACACACAGACACACTCATAGTGCACTCACACACACAGATACACTCATAGTGCACTCACACACACAGACACACTCATAGTGCACTCACACAGATACACTCATAGTGCACTCATACACAGATACACTCATAGTGCACTCACACACAGATACACTCATAGTGCACTCACACACAGATACACTCATAGTGCACTCACACACGGATACACTCATAGTGCACTCACACACAGAGATACACTCATAGTGCACTCACACACGGATACACTCATTGTGTACACACAGACACACTCATAGTGCACTCACACACGGATATACTCATAATACACTCATAGTGCACTCACACACACACGGATACACTCATAGTGCACTCACACACAGAGATACACTCATAGTGCACTCACACACACACGGATACACTCATAGTGCACTCACACAGAGATACACTCATAGTGCACTCACACAGAGATACACTCATAGTGCACTCACACACACAGATACACTCATAGTGCACTCACACACACAGACACACTCATAGTGCACTCACACACACAACACACTCATAGTGTACTCACACAGATATACTCATAGTGTACTCACACAGATACACTCATAGTGCACTCACACACACAGACACACTCATAGTGCACTCACACAGATACACTCATAGTGCACTCATACACAGATACACTCATAGTGCACTCACACACAGATACACTCATAATGCACTCACAGATACACTCATAGTGCACTCACACACAGATACACTCATAGTGCACTCACACACAGATACACTCATAGTGCACTCACACACGGATACACTCATAGTGCACTCACACACAGAGATACACTCATAGTGCACTCACACACGGATACACTCATTGTGTCACACACACGTACCACATACCTCATAGTGCCACACGGTACACTCATAGTGCACTCACACACGGATACACTCATTGTGTACACACAGACACACTCATAGTGCACTCACACACGGATATACTCATAATACACTCATAGTGTACTCACACACGGATACACTCATAGTGCACTCACACACACACGGATACACTCATAGTGCACTCACACACAGAGATACACTCATAGTGCACTCACACACACACGGATACACTCATAGTGCACTCACACAGAGATACACTCATAGTGCACTCACACACACAGATACACTCATAGTGCACTCACACACACAGACACACTCATAGTGCACTCACACACACAGACACACTCATAGTGCACTCACACACACAGACACACTCATAGTGTACTCACACAGATATACTCATAGTGTACTCACACAGATACACTCATAGTGCACTCACACACACAGATACACTCATGGTGCACTCACACACACACAGATACACTCATAGTGCACTCACACAGAGATGCATTCCTTAGTGCACTCACACACACACTCACACAGAGGCACTACAGATGCTATCTTTGTTTTATTTTGTAATTAATTCTTTCATTTTATATTATATTGGTTTTTTGAGACAGGATTTCTCTGTGTAGCCTTGGCTGTCCTGAAATCCACTCTGTAGACCAAGCTGGCCTTGAATTCAGAGATCCACCTGCCTCTGTCCCCGGGGTGCTGGGATTAAAGGTGTGTACCACCACTGCACAGGTCTTTGTCACTATTTTACTTGGGATAATTTCTGCTGCAAAGGAGAGACACTGATTGACAATGATTCAGGGATAGAGGCTGTCATCACACAACTGTGACCAGTCATCAAGAGCTGGGATGTTTATCATCAGGCTTTCAATCAAGAACGTTTGCCACCGGACTGGAGAGACGGTTCAGAGGTTAAGAGCTCACTGTATTTCCAGGACCCACATTTGGCAGCTCACAACTGCCTGCCACTCCAACTTTGAGGGCTCTGAGATCCCTCTGTCCCCACTCATATGCATACAGATACACATATACATACATAGACAAAAACAATAAAATACAAAGCTGGGTGGTGGTGGCACTCACCTTCAGTCCCAACATCTGGGAAGCAGAGGCAGGTGAATCTCTATGAGTTTGAGAACAGCCTGATCTACAAAGTGAGTTCCAGGACAGCCAAGGGTACAAAGAGAAATCCTGTCTCAAAAAAAAAATCAAATTAAATAAATAAGTGAAATAAAAAAGAAAGAATGTTTCTCAAGCAAGGCATGGTGGTGCACAACCTTAATCTCAGCACTTTG